AAGAGAAAAGAATGAAGAGGAGATAACACCTACCTCGTCGGCGGGGGATTGATGATAGGACAGAGACTGGCAGACTGCTGTGCCGGTTATGTTAGCCTGAAACAGTGGCACTTCAAGAGCATCCGCAAAGTAACGTATTCCCTCGGTAGCAACGCTCTGAAACATGTAGCTGTCAATCTCCACCTGACTAAAAAAGTGGGTGATTATAATTGTGCCTGTTGAAATAGTAAACCTACCTAGCCTCAGTGTCGCATGGTTTCAGGTTCACTAGGGCGACAATTTCGTGACCGTGTACGATGCTCTCGCAAATAGCAAAACAGCTGTCCTTCCCTCCGCTAACCAAAGCCGCCAATTTCATGTTTAATTCGGAAAGAGGATCTAAAAACAAGTTAAGCCGTTCATCTAAATGTATATAAGGTGGCGCCTTTTCGCAGTTACAATGCCGAGACACAACAAAACAAGAAGTTGCTCCAACTGGCTTTGTTTGTTTAAAACGCCTAAGTCAGGTAACAGACAAAGACAAGGGATACGGAAAAGGTTTCTTCTAACTTATTTGCCTTGTCCACCATCTTTACTCAACCGCCAGCAGATAGTATTGCCGGGAAAGACAGGGGAGACTGGAGTGGCCACTTCTTGCTTATTAGCTATCGTCAGCCAGTCATACCCAGACCCAAGTGGTATCCCACCCGAGCCTCGAACTCGTGACCTTTTTGATCAGAGTCAAACGTCCTAACTATTGCGCCACGAGCAGGCTGGTGAGGGCTAACGAGCCAGAAATGGCCATTCCAGTCTCCCTTGTCCTTCTCGACAATACTATCTGCCGACTATTAGCTGTTACGACTGTCAGAGCCTCTGACGAGGCCCAAAGCAGAGCGGGACAGATGAGTTCCGTTAGCGGTCAGGTAAACGTTCATCTATACTCAACCACCAGTGTTGAGCACTTGACATTTGAACACGGGATCTTCGGTTACTGAGTCGAACGCTTTACCATTGACCCACGATCCCGTTGTCCCGTGGGTTACGACGGTTGCACTCGCAGATTAGGTTATGGAACACGCTCATTTTTGTGTGCCTTAGAGCTCAATCTGAATACTTCGCAGGAAGTCGAATTGCGCCTAAAAGCATGTCTCGTTAACTGATTAGCGAGCGTCCCCCTAGCATAAGCTTAGATTCCAAACACTAACGAAAATACTGTTGCCTTTTCTACCTTGACTAAGAACAGGTATGAAGACAGGTGAGCAACGTAATGATCGCCAAAGTACGAGTGAGGGTACAGTAAAGTGCGAGGCGACTATGCGAACCTTGATTTAAACTTTAAGCACACTGCATTTTCCGTCGTCTCATCCTCTCCGGCAGCTACTAGGCTCTCAGAAGCAGGCTATAAAAGGTTGCTTCGCAGAGAAACAGGGACTCAACCTTGCACTTTCGACCAGTTAGGGTCTAGACCTACGAACAACATGCGTGGCCCACACAAACACGAATATTTGCAGGGGAGCAATGCGGGGCAGGCTCACATTTGAAAACAAATGCAAGCACTCTCATTCGGGAAGTTTAATTTTTAGGAGTCTACACTTGAATCTAAAGCGCATAATGACACAATGAAAACAACGGGAAATGCCAACCGGTAAAGCTATAGAGGAAGATTAAAACGAGATGTCATGCTAGTTTAAGACTTCTTTTCTTGCGAAAGCTGTTAATACTAGGTTTCGGCTATTTATTCAAGGTAATACTAACGGCCGCGGTCTGCCTAGTAGATGCATAGGTTGCGTACATCGAAAAGGCCTTCACCAGAAGCCTACTACGAAATAAATTGACTATGAGGCTTGACGACACAGCAGCAACATATTAAAACCTGTCAAGGCATTGGTTTGGAAATCGGCTCTATGACAATTTCATAAACTATAGCAAAATTAAACGTCTGACGACCGTTCTCTAGAGAGTGCCTCCAGCTGCCTTAGAATTAGGTTGCGCGCAACCAAGAACCTGATCGGGATCAAATAACGCGAATACGTGTGTACATTCACCACCGAATAGGCCGAACCAGTTGTGGTACTAGTCAAAACTACGTCAGTCACAAAATTTATGAGAAGAAGCGAGCTGCCGAAAAGTTGTTTGTTTTAAGCAGCACTCGTGATCATAGAAACGCTAATTGGACCCGTAAAAAACGCCGGCGAACCCACACACACTAGTGGCCAAAAATGTGAAATGGCAGCATATTTATTTCACATTCCAAGACATACCAAAGTCAATAACATAAGACAAAACGTTTCAAGTGCATAAGACAACGTGGGAAATATAACAGATTTGCTGACGTTAGTAAAGGACAGGAAAACTTGGTAAGCTTTCCAAATCCGCGGGTTATTGAGGATTTACAGTCCAAAGGCTTTTTGACCTAAAAAACGGGGGAAGAAAAACGTGGCATGTACTAGTTTAATCCAGTCAGAGACAACAGTAATTTTACGGGCGTACATAAAATATCATGAACCTCAAGGAAGGTCTAAATTAACTAATGCAAACACTTAACGCAACGCAGTATGAATTACTAAGGAAACCTAGAATTTCAACAGCCGTGAGGCATCGTACTCACTTGGACAGAATCCCATTAACCAGTTGGCTGATGAAGCCTGTGCGACTAGGTGAAGACAACGATAAAGATCCCCGAGCAAGGCTTTGAAAGATCAGCAGTTGTCCTTGTGTTTGAGTTTCATTTCATTGCAAAAAACCCCGGTCAAAGTTGCTTGATTAAACGGCGATAACAACAATGATCCCAATGAGTGTGAAACCAGAGGGAACGGTACCAGCAGCCCGTAGGAGTAGGGCAGTAAGTCCTCGCCGCGAGTAATAACTGAGGTGGGGGGTAGAAGGGCGACCGAGTTCAGAATTAGCAGCAAGAGGGCCAAGTTCGGCACCTGGAGATAACAGCAACGGTACCACTCAAACACGTGGACGATTAATGATCCTTCGTGACTTCGCCCGTGGATCTTCACCGACGCTTCTGTCTAATCGCACACTTTCGTCTACGAAGGCGATATTTGAAGCAGATCACAATGGCAGTAAGTTTTGACTTTTGCCGCTCGAACTGCAGAAGGGCGACTGAGAAATAATTAAAACCATCGTGATGTATGACTTTTCTGATCGTTCAATTACAGGTTGCGAGCGGCGGCAGACTTCAGTTGGCGTTCGGCAAACAGATAGACGCGAACCTTTGTTGTGAGAAGTCATGCAGTGAAAAAATTCAGAGGAAAAGCTCCAGTTTTCCTTTGGTTGGGGTAGGGCTTTAATCGAAGGAATGATCTAGGCTAGGATATATCCTAGAATATATAGTCTATGGGTTATATAATATGATAGATGAGTAGATCAGCAGTTCTTTGTCGGCTCCACTCCACCATATGGTATAAATCGTTATGCAAGTGTTTGCAATGGCACTAGGTTGAGCTTCCGGGCACAACGGGATACGTAATTCAAACCAGGTATATCGGTGAGTTCTCTATTTCCACAGTAGTGCAGATATCCCTTCATCTTTTTTCGACCACTTTCTCCGTAGTATTCTACGTTTGCATTTGTTCCTGGTCTTTTGTTGATCTCC